GGGGGGAGCGGGGAAGGGAGCAAGAGGATACACGCGCTTAGGGCTGCAAGTACACGGCTGTCCGAAGCCCCGTTTGAGCAGACGTCAGGGAATTGCCTCCCAGCCCATACGCCTGGTTCTGGGCAAACCCTGCGAGCTCCCGGCTCAGGCTGCCAAATGAGGTGGGGGGCGCCCTACAGGTGGAGCATGGCCTGTCGTGAGAGAGCTCCTTCAGAGACACACCTGGGGGGAGGGGACAAGGGAGCAGGAGGCAGTGTGGTGTGTGTTTAACACCCATTTGCCAACCCTGCCAGCTCCCGGCGCAGGCTGCAGAATGAGAAGGGGTAGATCCACATGTGGGGCACAGCCAGTCAGCCAGCTGTCAGGAAGCTCCTTGAGAGACGCAGCTGGGGGAGACGGAAGAGGGGTTGGGGAAGAGGATCAGGTGGGTTGGGGAAGAGGATCAGGTGGGTTGGGGAAGAGGATCAGGTGGGTTGGGGAAGAGGATCAGGTGGGTTGGGGAAGAGGATCAGGTGGGTTGGGGAAGAGGATCAGGTGGGTTGGGGAAGAGGATCAGGTGGGTTGGGGAAGAGGATCAGGTGGGTTGAGGAAGAGGATCAGGTGTACAGCGAGGGAACGAGGGAAGACGGGAGCGGAAATGACGGTGCTTGCTTTGAGCATGGGGGCATCTTTATGGAAGCTTGCGAATTGCAAGGGGTACACACACGGACATGAAACAATCACCAAGGGCGATGGGGTAGGCTAGATGGCTGAGCAAGTGAGCAGCTGTATGGAAGCTTGCGGTGCTTGCGAATTGAAAGGGGTACACGGACGGATAAAATATGACACTCAACCGGGGCGAAGGGCTAGGCAAGATGACTTCTGACTCTACTCACAAGTTACCTTGAAACATGGGAGCACTAAGTTGAGGACCAGTGAGGAAGCACAAGAGTGCACGGCCACAGCGACACACATGCGATCAACACTCACCAGGCGCAACGGGGTAGGAAGGGTAGCATTCGAATTGGTCGTACACAACATATAGCCAAGTCACACGACCTGCACTCATACTTGGACTAGTATAGATACACTACAGTAGGCTGGAATGGGTGTAGGAGTGTGCAGCACTAACCAGGGGCGATGGCCGCCCTTGTATTGGTTGTACACAACACATAGCCAAGCCACACGACCTGCACTCCCACTTGGACTAGTATAGATACACTACAGTAGGCTGGAATGGGTATAGGAGTGTGCAGCACTAACCAGGGGCGACGGGGTAGGCTGGATCGCCTTTGAATTGATCGTACACGTAGCCACACGACTTGCACTCCCACTTGCCCGTGTTCACAACTGCGAACTTCTCCTCTGGAGGAAGATGTAGACAGAACGAAGACGGGGTAAAGGAAAGGCGGAGGGGAGGGGAGGGGAGGGAGGGGAGGGGAGAGGAGGGAGGGGAGGGGAGGGGAGGGGAGGGGAGAGGAGGGGAGGGGAGGGGAGGGGAGGGGAGGGGAGAGGGAGGAGCGTAAACATTGAGCATGTGTCTATTTGTTACACGACCTGCACTCACTCCCACTAGCCCGTGTTCAACACTGCAGGTTTCTTCTCTGGAGAAGGCACAGGGGTGGTGAGCGTGGAGGGGCAAGAGCAGAGCAAGTATAGGACACGCGTGTATGCAGTTATTAGACCAGCATTCGCAGACGATCAACTGCAGCAAGGCAGACAACATGCAGCAGCCTCCAGTTCAGAGTGAAGCCACCTGAATTCCTTGCCCAAAACAAAAAAACCCAAATTGTTTCCAAAATTTGAAGGGGCACACACACACACTCAATTCACACGACAAGCCGGCCTTTATTATACCAACAGCTCCGACAGTGCTTCTACGTTTCACCTTGTACAACGCCCCTGGGGTTAGGTGATCTTAGAGTCGACTCAAAACCACCTCCTGGTGTCAACCTTCAGCGTCTACCCAGCCTTGCCTCCTCGTTCAACGCCCCTGGGGTAAGCTGACCTTCGAGTCGACTCGAGCGCCACCTCCTGGTGTCGTCCTTCAGCGCCTGCCCACCCGTACCGTCTCGTGTCTCTCCCTTGGACAGTTCAGCCGTCGCATTGTTGCGTCTTCTCCCTTGCTCCGTTTCGCCCTTAGAGCTACTCCATTACATCAAGCCACACCAGCCATCTCGCGCCTTCCCGCGCCTTCCCGCGCCTTCCCGCGCCTTCCCGCGCCTTCTCGCGCATCACCACCCTCAACCGTCAGGCTGTAGCGTCTTCTTCCTCCTCCGCGGTGGCTCCGCTCCAACCTTTGAGCTACTCCGTATGCATTCAGCCACGCTAACCTTCTCGTGCAACATCTTGGCCGGTTCAGCCGTCAGGCTGGCTGTGGCGACCTCTTGTGTCCAACATTGAAGCTAGTCCTAATTCACTCAGCCAGGCTTACCGTCTCGTACAACGCCTTGGCAGGCTTAGCAGCGGGGGCTGTGGCGCCTTCTACTTTAACCATAGAGCTACTCCGTGATAAAAAACAACCAGCCACGCGTACCTTCTCGCTTAACGCCCTTAGCGGGTTAAGCAGCGGCGGCTGTGGAGTTCTCTTCTGTAACCTTATAGCAATTCCTTTCACGCATCAAGTCCGGCTTACCTTCTCGTTTAACGCCCTGGGCAGGCTCGGCAGCGGGGGCTGTGCACCTTCCGCTTCTTCTGCTTCTGCTCTCACGGCCACGTGTCGGGGGATGGCCCGGCTCTGCTGCGTTTTCGACGCCTGCACGAAATTCCGCGAAAACAGGAGAAAACGGGGTACCAGCAAACGGATAGAACCGTGATATATGAATACTCGCTTGCCAGTATAAGTGTCTGAACCAATTGGGTGGATTCTGTGAAAAAATACCAGAAATAGGTAGAATGATGAATGATGCAAGCGTCGGCGTGACTTATCCTTAAAAAAATAAATAATGATAATAAAAAATCAGCGATTCGTACGGCATTGATAGATTGTACAGGGGAGTTGTGACGTACATGGAGCAGTGGTAACCCGAGTGGCTTCGCTGACACCTGTCGCAAGGAGACGGAAAAAGGGACGGGAAATATGGATGTAGGAGGGTGATGAGCAATGGAAGGCAGCACAGGCTTAAAGACACGGTCTTTGTTAGTGTGCAGAAAAGCAGCAGCGTTGACAAAATGCAAGAGCAGCAGGATGCGGGAAGTCTCGAGCCCGCGGGGGAAACGTTACTCTACGACTACATTTATTGAACTACTGGCAGTCCAGGGGCCGATTTACGCTCTCGGTAGTCAGCATTCTCTGGCGACTAACCGCATTGGATGAACGCGAAGACAGGCTGGCAGCAGGAGCCACGCAAGCCGTCGCCACGTGGCTGACGAGAGCAACGGAAGATGCCATTGTGATCGCTTTTGCTGAGTCTGCCGACGCAGGTAACGTGCGGTGATGCGGGTAAGCAACCGAGGAGGCAGAAACGCAGTGAGCGCTCAGAGACAGGGGGGCTCACTTGTTTGAATTAGGCGTAAGTACGGGTGAGGTGAGGAAATGCCTTCTACAGAAATGCCTATTCCTGCCTTGTTTTGTGTTGTGTAGGTATGTAATTGCCTAGTGTGCGCTAGATGGAGGGATGTGCCACAAGAGTCCACTCGATCGCGGTTCAGTGAGTTTTGTTGCGGTTCATCGCATTTGTCTTCTGTGTGCAGCGGTTGGGTAGGTTTTGACGGAGAAACAACACTTCTGTCACTCCCTAAGGTCGATGTGCGACGATGAAAATCGAGGCGAGAAACAACGGGAGTAGATCAGAAAGCGTCAGGTAATTTGGCTGGGCGATCAGAATGCGTCAGGTTTGGCGAAAAAGTGCCCCGAAAAAATAAAGGGCCCTGAGTTTAGGCTTGATGTCACCCCGAAGTCTACAGACCCTTATGGGTTTTATTGTTTTGGGCAGCCCGAAGTACACTTACCACAAAGCGACGGGAGGCACCTAACGCTTATTGATATCTTCCCGATAAACAACTGCCTCTGCGAAAATCAAATTGAGTACGCGATGAAGAACGTCGCACAGGCTGAGGTGGAAGGAGACGTGGCTGCTTAGTTCGTAACCACGTGGAAAATTACAGCCTAAGGGATCTCCGCAAGGATCTGGAGCGCGCTGTTCTCTCGAGGCATATGTGGGGCCAGGTTCGCCATGGACACGTGTGGAGGGATGGTGATGTGGGCTCTCGTTGATTCCACGTTGAGCGACTCTGATTCGTTGTCAGCGGAATCCACCTCCCACCCTAGTCAGCATCTTCAAGGGTTGGAAGGTTCTCCAGATGCCGCGTTCCACCACTGGATGCTGCACTGGGTGAAAGTTATAAGTGAATCGAATTACCGTAATCCCCCGGATATAACACCCGCCGAAATTAAGCACCCCCTGGTGTTATATCCGGGGAGGGTGTTCTATTGAAGAATCCGCAATTATACACCCTCTTTTTGAGGGTTCCAGGAGAGCACCCCCCCATTACATTCGAACCCTTCTACCCCTAACAATACCGGCAACAAATGCAGTTTTTTTAATGCTATTTCATGCTGATTACGACCAGGACGCAAAAGTTGAAATTTTCCGAGGCACTTGACGTGGTTCTCTGGTACTGAAAATGACAAAGTGAAACAAATCTTCACCTGGAAAAGCGCAGTGGGCCGACAATTTTTGTTTCAATTGTGCGACAGACCTGTGCTGATTGGCTGACGAGCGTCGCAATTTTCGTCCAGTCCATTGCGAGTGTCGCCAACCCCCCAATCTCGCTTCACTAACCTGACACAAACCTGAAATTCGTGAGCAAGTGGGCAATCCGGGGCTATTCAGGACCTCGAGAAAACGTACGCCTTTTCAGCCGGAATTTGAATGGTTGAAATCGCCATGACGCACTGAATCTAATGCACATCTTAAAAATTCTGTCCTCAAATATAACACCAGGGTGCTATAGCCTAAACGCAAATAGAGCACCCAACCCCCTGATTTTGCATGAATTTTTTACTATACCGGGGTGTTATATCAGGGGGATTACGGTACACTTCGCTCTGGGCTAGAAAAGGAAGGCCTACAACAGTTTATCAAAATCCTTGAAAAAACACAACACACTTGGAACTTTTCACATCCTCAACTTCAAAACTGCCATGCTCCGGTAGCATTTAGCCTCGTTTGCGTTTTCCGTGTGACTTGTTCGCACGCACCGTACTTTCTTGCTGCAAGTTCATCAGCTTCACACTTCCTATCTCTTGCTTCCCCCCCACTTAGTGTTTCTGCTTTCTGTTGCCTTCCCCATCTTCAAAGCCTGCTGCCTTTCCTCTTCCTGCTGCTGCTCCTTCAGCTTAGCACCATCTCCTCCCATACAGCTCCCACCCAGAAACACCAATCCCACCACCACCGTTACTGGTCCACCCACTTGTGCACAGGGACTAGCATTCATGCCGACTGTTGCACCAATAATTCCCCCCCCTGCCACGTCCAACCCCACCTCCTTCCGACGACTTTCTCAATCACACTTAACCCGCACTCCTGCTCGCCCTCCTCCCTTCCCCTTTCGCACCACCGCCGTCCATCCCTCCCCCCTCCTCCCTTGCTCTGTCCCAGCAACAGCAGCAGCAGCAGCAGTAGAAGCTGAAGCAGCTACAGCAGCAGACAGAGCAGACATAGAATCAGGCGCAGTATCATCAGTGGTAACCGCATCGCCTGCCCCACGAGCTAGTTGCGGTGCAGAAGCGCTAGTTGCGGCAGCTGCAGCGGCAGCTACAGCTGCAGCGGCGGCAGGAGCAGAGAGGGAGGAGTATCCAGGAGGGCGGAGGAAGGTGAGGGAGGAGAAGAGCGAAGAGAGGAGGGCAGTGTCTGGGGGAGATTGAGGTATTGCTGCCTGAAAGGGGTGTGGGCGAGAGGGGGGGGGGGATAGGATTTCATTAACAGCAAGGCAGGCAGAGCGGTGGGACGGAGGAAGGTGAGGGAGAAAAGGGAGGAGACGAGGGAAATGTGTGGAGGAGAAGGGGCATGGTTTGCCCGGGGAGGGGCGGCAGGACAAGCACTAGTGGTTGCAAGGGAGGAGAGAAGGGCAGTGTGTGCCTGCGGGGGGTGCGAGCAAGAGGGAGGAAGGAGGGGAAGGATTGGAAAACAAGAGGAAGGTGAGGGAGGAGAAGAGAGCGGAGAGGAGGGTAGTGTCTGGAGGAGAGGGGGGTGTTGCGACCTGCGAAGGGAAGGGATGTGGGTGGGAGAGAGGGGGGGGAAAAAAAGATTTCACTAACACTTGAACAGGCAAAACCAGCGGGCGGAGGAATGTGAGGGAGGAGAAGAGCAAGGAGAGGAGGGCAGTGTGTGGAGGGTGAGGAGGAATCGCTTCCTGCGAAGGGAGGTAAGCAAGTGGAAACAGGGAGAAGGGCGAGGAGAGGAGGGCAGTGCCTGGGGTGGAGGAGGCATTGTGGCGTGCGATCGGGTGAGAGAGTGAGGAAGAGAGACAGGATTAGCAAAAGCGGGGCAAGCCGAGGTTTGTCTGGTGGAGTGTGATGGACTGCAGAATGAACACAAATCGAATGTCAATACAGGAACCCCACCCCCCAAAAAAACAAAACAAAACAGAGAACATATGAGAGAGTGTCCAAAGTGCAGTCTGTCATCCGCTGTATGGAACGAATCTTAGAAGTTGTCATCCGTCTGTACGGAAATCAACGGACGAGACTCGTTCTGTCATCCGCTGTCATCCGACGACAGAACGAATCATAGCCGTTGTCATCCGTCTGTACGGAAATCAACGGACGAGACTCGTTCTGTCATCCGCTTGTGATCAACGACCTTGGGACATAATTGGATGGACCTACTTGTGATGCTGCTGATGACATGGATGGGTGGATCACCACGCACGGCCGCTGCTGCTGGTTCTGCTGCCGCCGTGACTCTGCACGAGCCAGAAGCTTCCTGGAAAGACGAAGGGCACCAAAAAGGTTCGTGGACAGTACTTCACAAAGCTATGTTTGTACTTCACAGTACTTCACCAAAAAGGTTCGCGGAGAGCACATTATTCCTAAAGGACCCTGTTCCTCCATAGTAACATCCGAGACTCTTAGTCCCATGGTCGCAATCTGGACACTTCCTTTCTAAGGGGCCTCAAGACGCTCTCACCTACATCAAGTGCTCTTCTGAGCACAAGATCAACACAAGATCATCACAAGATCATCACAAGATCAACACAAGATCATCACAAGATCCTCACAAGATCATCACAAGATCATCACAAGTTCCTCACAAAATCATTGCAAGATCATTGCTACTGGATTCTGCTCCCTCAGGTGGTCTGCCGAGTTGCCCACACCATCGCAAGATGCACAGGTGTGCACAGGTGTGCACAGGTGTGCAGAGGTGTGCACAGGTGTGCGTGATGCGCGGTGGCTCAGAACGAGCGCCAACACTCAATATGGGTAGTGGTAAGGGTAGTCACACAGTCACACTCATTATTAGCCCAGCCGGCACAATTATTTAAGGGCAGGTGCACTTACTTGGGAGTGACGGTCAGGATAACGCGGATCTGATGACGTGTCAGACCCGCCAGTGACAGCAAGGCTGCCACGTCAGCAGGCCTCTTCAGCTGCCGTGCTGCTGTGGCACCACAGGATAGAATCAGGCACTTGCCACGTGTCACCTCTGAGACCTCCTGACGTGGAGAACAAAAGCATTTCAATACGGGAGAGAAATTCAGAACCCCTAAAAATCCCAAAGCAATGAATTTTTGGGAAAATAATAAACTCCTGACATGCAACAGTAGAAATGTTCTCAAAGCTTTTATCGGTTGTTCTAATAGGGCTAACGATGACAAGCCTTATATCGAAACGTCCAGCAGCAAACCTATCACTTCACCTTGATTCCCTGTAGCAAGGGTGCTAATAGGGAGCGGTCTGAGAGGACAGGGCCGTAGGAAAACTCAAACACGCGACCAGCCTGCCATGCATGTGAGAGGATGCGTGCCATGCATGTGAGAGGATGCGTGCCATGCACGTGAGAGAATGCGTGCCATGCATGTGAGAGAATGCGTGCCATGCATGTGACAGAATGCGTGCCATGCATGTGAGAGAATGCGTGCCATGCATGAGAGAGGATGCGTGCCATGCATGAGAAGAATGCGTGCCATGCATGTGAGAGGATGCGTGCCATGCATGTGAGAGAATGCGTGCCGTGCATGTGAGAGAACAAATGCCATGCATGTGAGAGAATGCGTGCCATGTATGGTGGGATCGTGGGAAAGGAAGGGAGGTTGATGAAGGAAACGTGGTGTGCTTTGAGACGTGTTAGGCGTCCACCGCACTGCCCATGGGCGGACATGGGCGGACATGGGCGGACATGGGCGGTCATGGGCGGACATGGGCGGACATGGGCGGATATGGGCGGTCATGGGCGGTCATGGGCGGTCATGGGCGGACATGGGCGGTCATGGGCGGACATGGGCGGACATGGGCGGACATGGGCGGACATGGCGGATATGGGCGGTCATGGGCGGTCATGGGCGGACATGGGCGGACATGGGCGGACATGGGCGGTCATGGGCGGACATGGGCGGTCATGGGCGGACATGGGCGGTCATGGGCGGACATGGGCGGACATGGGCGGACATGGGCGGTCATGGGCGGTCATGGGCGGATATGGGCGGTCATGGGCGGTCATGGGCGGACATGGCGGTCATGGGCGGACATGGGCGGACATGGGCGGTCATGGGCGGACATGGGCGGTCATGGGCGGACATGGGCGGTCATGGGCGGACATGGGCGGTCATGGGCGGTCATGGGCGGACATGGGCGGTCATGGGCGGACATGGGCGGACAAGGGCGGACATGGGCGGACATGGGCGGTCATGGGCGGACATGGGCGGTCATGGGCGGACATGGGCGGACATGGGCGGACATGGGCGGACATGGGCGGTCATGGGCGGTCATGGGCGGACATGGGCGGACATGGGCGGTCATGGGCGGACATGGGCGGACATGGGCGGACATGGGCGGACATGGGCGGACATGGGCGGACATGGGCGGACATGGGCGGTCATGGGCGGACATGGGCGGACATGGGCGGATATGGGCGGTCATGGGCGGTCATGGGCGGTCATGGGCGGACATGGGCGGACATGGGCGGACATGGGCGGACATGGGCGGACATGGGCGGTCATGGGCGGACATGGGCGGACATGGGCGGATATGGGCGGTCATGGGCGGTCATGGGCGGTCATGGGCGGACATGGGCGGTCATGGGCGGACATGGGCGGACATGGGCGGTCATGGGCGGACATGGGCGGACATGGGCGGACATGGGCGGACATGGGCGGACATGGGCGGACATGGGCGGACATGGGCGGTCATGGGCGGACATGGGCGGACATGGGCGGATATGGGCGGTCATGGGCGGTCATGGGCGGTCATGGGCGGACATGGGCGGTCATGGGCGGACATGGGCGGACATGGGCGGACATGGGCGGACATGGGCGGATATGGGCGGTCATGGGCGGTCATGGGCGGACATGGGCGGACATGGGCGGACATGGGCGGATATGGGCGGTCATGGGCGGACATGGGCGGTCATGGGCGGACATGGGCGGACATGGGCGGATATGGGCGGTCATGGGCGGTCATGGGCGGACATGGGCGGACATGGGCGGTCATGGGCGGTCATGGGCGGACATGGGCGGACATGGGCGGACATGGGCGGACATGGGCGGACATGGTCGGTCATGGGCGGTCATGGGCGGACATGGGCGGACATGGGCGGTCATGGGCGGACATGGGCGGTCATGGGCGGACATGGGCGGTCATGGGCGGACATGGGCGGTCATGGGCGGTCATGGGCGGTCATGGGCGGACATGGGCGGTCATGGGCGGACATGGGCGGTCATGGGCGGACATGGGCGGTCATGGGCGGACATGGGCGGTCATGGGCGGACATGGGCGGACATGGGCGGACATGGGTGTGGAGTGGTATGTTGTGGCATGTGATACGACCTTATGATGCATGTTAGTTGTTGCAAAGTCGATTTTTTCAAATACTAAACCACTGACACCACTGACACCACTCATCACCTCTCATCACCTCTCATCACCTCCCATCACCTCCCATCACCTCTCATCACCTGCATCACTGCTTTGATGGCGGCAGGGGAGGGTCGGCTTGGCACATAGTGGGACACGTCTAGAGATATGATGTCCGCCTGTGTGTTAAAAAAGGGGGGGGGAGGAGGAGGAGGGGGGGAATGAGAACTCAAGGCTTGGCACAACGCAAGACAAGACACGGCTAGAGAAACGATGTCCGCCTGGGGGAAGGGGAGAAGAAGGGGGAGGGGGGGACGGAAAAAGGGGGAGGAGCGGGGGAAGAGGGGGAGAGAATTGATTTCTTTTCCGTTTCCTTTTTTTCTTTCTCTTTTTTTTTGGCCAGCTTTTGAAGTCATTGCAGGGTGCTTTTGAGCTGACTCGAGGCATCTCGACTCACCTTGTTGTTGAAAACACACAGAAAAGCAAACACATCATTGCTCACCGGCAAGTCAGATCCAGCAGATAATATCCCGAGATCATATCCGGCAGATCATCGTTGAAGCAGCCGCCAGATCGTATCCCATCATCTTGCTATTACAACAGGCGGAAAGGAAGCTGCTACTATTCGCTGCACGGCCGCCAGGTCATATCCCATCCCCAACCACTAGTGTTAGCAGGTCAGACATGAGTGGAAGAAACGAGTTGGCACCACATGCACACCTTTTGAGGCGCCTCAAAAATAGAGTTGGCACCACACGCGCACCTTTTGAGGCGCCTCAAAAATAGAGTTGGCACCACACGCGCACCTTTTGAGGCGCCTCAAAAATAGAGTTGGCACCACACGCGCACCTTTTGAGGCGCCTCAAAAATAGAGTTGGCACCACACGCGCACCTTTTGAGGCGCCTCAAAAATAGTGTTGGCACCACACGCGCACCTTTTGAGGCGCCTTAAAAATAGAGTTGGCACCACATGCGCACCTTTTGAGGCGCCTCAAAAATAGAGTTGGCACCACACGCGCACCTTTTGAGGCGCCTCAAAAATAGAGTTGGCACCACACGCGCATCTTTTGAGGCGCCTCAAAAATAGAGTTGGCACCACACGCGCACCTTTTGAGGCGCCTCAAAAATAGAGTTGGCACCACACGCGCACCTTTTCAGGCGCCTCAAAAATAGAGTTGGCACCACACGCGCACCTTTTCAGGCGCCTCAAAAATAGAGTTGGCACCACACGCGCACCTTTTGAGGCGCCTCAAAAATAGAGTTGGCACCACACGCGCACCTTTTGAGGCGCCTCAAAAATAGAGTTGGCACCACATGCGCACCTTTTGAGGCGCCTCAAAAATAGAGTTGGCACCACACGCACACCTTTTTCAGGCGCCTCAAAAATAGAGTTGGCACCACACGCACACCTTTTGAGGCGCCTCAAAAATAGAGTTGGCACCACACGCGCACCTTTCGAGGCGCCTCAAAAATAGAGTTGGCACCACACGCGCACCTTTTGAGGCGCCTCAAAAATAGAGTTGGCACCACACGCGCACCTTGCTGTTGAAACAGGCGGACAGCAAACTGTCACTGATCAGCTGAGAGGCATCACAGATGGGAAAAAGGTCAGCTCTGCCACTTTTCCCCATCTGCTCAGGTCAGAGGCATCCCAGCCGCCAGATCGTATTCCCGTCCCCACCACCATGGGCAGGCGACACTTGAGCCAACCCAACGCGCACCTTGCTGTTGAAACAGGCGGACAGGAAGCTGTCGCTGGTCATTGGTTGCACGGCCGCCAGGTCATAGCCGATCCCACTACCGTGGGCAGGCGCTCAGCGATCACGTCGGGTCCCCCCTCCTCCACTGCTGCAGTGACTCGGATGAGCTGGGTGAAGACTGGGTCTTGGGCTGTAAGGGGCTTGTATTGGGGAGCAACAGGGGAGGGGAAGGGGGATAGGGGTTGCGGAGGGGATGAGAGAGAGGAATCGGAGGAGGAGGGTGAGGTGAAGAGAAGAGGTAGAGGAGGGCAGAGGGCGGAGGGCGGAGGGCGGAGGGCGGAGGGCGGAGGGCGGAGGGGAAGGGGGTGGGGAGGGAGAGCGAGGAGAGGGGAGAGGGGGTTGCAGAGGGGGAAGGGGAGGTCGGTTTCACAGCTGTTGACTCAGCTCTATTTTTACTTAAGCGTTTACACAAGTTGCTGCCACGTTAAGTACCATGGCACCTAGTGGTGTTCACTCGAAGCGGAGGTCGGTTTCACAGCTTTTGTGTCAACTGAGGAGTAAAGGCTCCGGGGGGCGGGCAGCTGGCGCCAGCACCTTTGCCTTGAGACAGTTAGTTTGATTAGAATTCGAAAAAGACGAACAGAGCCCCCCTGCTGTTGCTACGCAAGCCAACGGGGCCATGGCCTACAGGGGTCAAGATAGGGAGAAAGGGGGAGCGGGGGAGTGGGGGAGTGGGGGGAGTGGGGGAGGGGATGGAGGGTGGGGATGGGGAGGGGGAAGGGAGGGAGAGCGGAGCGAGTCGGGTTTCAGAGAGGGCTGTTGAATGAATGAAAAGCTGCGGTAGTTACTTGAAGCCGATTGGCTGAAGGGCTGTGTTCTTTCTTTCTCATGCGGGCATCCTTCTGCCCTGCAGCGCCTGCCGCTGTTCACGTAGGGCCTTCCTCCCCCTTCGGGCCTTCCCCCTCTCTCCGCTCCCTTCTTCCCCCCTTCCCCCCCTTTTCTTCCCCCCCTTCCCCCCTTTCTCTTCCCCCCCTTTCCCCCTCCCCCCCCTTCCCCCTTACCTGTGTTCCTTTCAGCGCGAGCCGCACTCGCTCTCGAGTCGCCTGCAGCATGTCCATCGGAATCGCCTTCACGCCGCACCGCTCGCGCGGCTCGACCTTCTCGCTCGGCCCCTTAAAGACGTTGAACGCGACGCCATGGTATCCTAGAGCCACCGCCGTTCCCGCCAATCGCGCTGATCTGTGAGCGATTTGGAGCCTACGATAGGTATGTTGGCTTCTAGAAACATCCTCGATATAAGGAGAATGGTAGAGAGAATGCGGCAGCGACTAAGAACGGGGGTGTCACTTTTGCTTAGCCTGCGATCTTCACGAAGGGAACCGATTCAACGCGACATAGGCGAGTAAGCGTGCGATTATCGCCGGACTTCGTTGCGAACAAGGGGGAAAGAAAGTGATCACCAGAACAGTGTGCACTCAGGTCAAACTCAGGGCGTGTTTTTGTAGTCGCTCATTGTCAAAAGTGTGGATTTGTTGCAAAATCTGGTACATGTGATTCGAGTCGAACCTGAAACACGAGAGAATCCAAACCACCCCGGCGCGAAAGGATTTCAAAATTCAAACCCTTCAGGTCTTATCTGAACAGGGTAGAACCTATTTCGTGCACTGTATGGATGTACAGTACGGTTAACCAGAGAGCATCTGTATTTTCAAGTGGTCTCGCCCTTGAATCAGCGGGCTCCAGCCACGCATGCATAAAGCAGTTGCCAGGACTAGTTATTCCATGCCACAGCTACTAGTACAGTAGTACTGTACTGGGAATTATGCTTGCTTGCATGCGCATCCGTCTCCCTTCCAGTCTTCGAGATCGACCTCGCACACTTTCTCCTAGCCTAAACCGATCTAGCCAGCCTCTTACGCGCTCATGTCGTGCGATCGTCGATTCACGCATCTTTCGTCCCGCTCACCCCCTCTCTCCCGCGAGGTGTTCTTTCTAAGCCTGACGACCCTCCTTTGTATCACATCCTGTAGAGCAACGTTTCATTCCGCTGCTGTCACGCAATCCAAGCGAGCTGAATCACGATCAGTCGGATCTAGACCAGATCAGTCCCCGGAATCCCGACAATTGCGGCGAATCCTGACAGAATCCGACGATCTCGGAGCCAACCCTCAAAGTGATGACGACTCCCCAACCAACACCGAGCCTGATCCTCTGGTTCGGTACCGCGACGAGGCAGATTCCGAAGCTGATGTCGCCGCCTCCTCCTGGCAAACCCCGTTTCTCCGCCCCAGCGAATCCATCCCGCAGATCTCGCCGCCGAATGCGCTGAGCTCGCGCCAGGATTCGACCCCGCGGTTCTCGCGGCGCGGGAATCCTTCGGACCAATCACGACGCTGGACGATCTAAAGCGGCTCGAGGACGGCCAGCGCGTGCTCGTCGTAGCTCCGCGGTTCGGCCTCGGGAACACGCTGCGCAATTGGGTATCCGCGTACATGTGGGCTTTAATCTCCGGTCGCAGAATAGTCATTCTCCACGCGGGTAAATTCCACGGCGTACTAGCGAGCACCTGCGAGGCGTTTAAATGCGATTTCGACCACATATATCCCAAGAAACTGTTAGACTCTCGTGTCAGGGGAGGGGAGGGGAGCGC